ATGCCTCTTAGAGGGAAAAACACATTAAAAAAAGAATAAAACAATTTCTGTTGGAAATTACAGAATACTACAAACCATATAAAGAGTAAGCAAAAATTTAGATTTAAAGTAGGAAATTATTAAATATAAACTACATACGATGCTTGAAAATATCACAATAAGTCTGCATAATAAAAGCTAGAATGCTAATACAAATAAATAAATGAACAAAAGGTAATAAATAGATTTCTAAGCTCTCTTCTTGTTATCTAATTCTATGTTAATCCACAGCATAAGAGATTCTCAGAATTTGATGAATCTGGAAGAGTGGCCAGTGATAACATCTCTACATGTTCTGTATTCTGAACAACAGTGAATGTTGTACCACATTCTAGATCAAAGTAAGCATGGTGCACTGATTGATGAAATGTTGATTTCACCACCTATCTACATATACTTCAGAATTTCTTATTCAAATTCTAATTCCAATGAAAATCTCAGACCTCTCTATGACTGTTAAGACTTTTCCAAGAAAGATTACTGATAATATCAGTATTGTCAGTAGTGATCTTTATGTCATGAGTGTGATTTTTAACAACATGGCCCCTACATGATTGTGGAAAATCAACTCCATGAGGACATACATAATAACTGATTTTGACTGTAGGCTCTTTTAGTGCAAGTCATTTCTATTATTCTTATTATTATATGCATGATGATGGACACAATTCATATATATATATGTGTATATATATATATATACATATATTAGTAAATGGATAAATGCATATTTTTCCCTTCAAGGGAAAAAATCTAGGGAAATATAACATAACTGACTACATAATGTAGGGATGAGTCAAGTAAATTTACTCAAAGGCTAATTCTGACATTAACAAAATATATGATCTCAGACTAGTCACATTATCTACCTAAAGTTTTTTTTACCTGAAAATACAGTAAATTGAAGAAGATGATTGCAATATTCCTTCCAACTCCAAGACTCTAAAGGTATCTAATTATAATTAAGAAGCATCAAGATGATGGCCAAAAAGCCAGGGATCAATATTAGCTGATAGCAAACTGCCACAAGGACACATGCAGAGTGCATACTGAACAGGGACCACTGACAACTAACTCTCAGCATGGTTGTGTAAGTCTGTGACTGTTAGGGGTAATGTGGAAACTCATCTGGACCACAAGCATGTCGGTACCTAAAAGCATCCAGGCAGCCAACTGACTAGAAATGTAAGTGCTATTTCCACATGAGTAGAATAATATGGGTTTTGTGAGGGTTTTGTACTTCTTCATTACTCCCATATGGTTCCCAACATTATTGATTGTGCCCTTCAATGATATATTCAAAAAGCAAAATAGGATTTGTACCTTAAAGATATACTATTATAATGAAAGCAAATTCATGAAAGCATAAAGCTAAAAATGACATATTTTCAATATTTCAAGTTGTCTACTATTGTCTGTATAAGTAAATATTCCTTTCCTTCTGTAAGGAATATCGAATGGGATATAAAACCTAAAACAATCAGATTAGTCTTAAAAACTTGCCTCTCGAAAACTATATTTTACTATTAATTTTGCTTCATACTATACTATGTCTACACTAAAATATTTACAGATGACAGTAAAGAGAAATTGAACCTAACTAAAAAGAACACAAACTTAATTTGATCAGAAATAGTTTTATGGGCTGGGGATTTAGTTCAATGGCATAAGCACTTGCCTGGCAAACATGAGGTAATGAATTTAATCCCTGGTACTACAAAATAAATAAATAAATACATAAATAAATAAATGTTAGAAATAGTTTTGCTTTTTAGTTAGATAACTTCATCACTCTGCATTTTGTTTTTCATTCCATGATATCTAAGACTTTGCAAATGATGGCAAAATTGTACCAATAATTCCCATATTCTCATTGAAAGTTTCTCTGTGTCTGTCTCTGACTCCCTCTCATCCTGTGGCTGCTGCTGCCTGGCAACTTTTCTATGTGCAAAGGCAGGGTAAGAAACTTAGCAGCTCTTGGAAAGGCAGCAACAAAAATCCCTAGCAACCTAACTTTCAGGCCAACTCTCCTTCATATACCTCCTGAGACTTAGACTGTTTGCTCACATAAACATCCTTCTTCTAACTTGTGAGTTTCAGTTACAACACATGAATTATTGTCACTTGCCATTAAAATCCCAGCATCATACTCATAAAATGAGTTAGCTGAAATTAAATCTGATATTTGATCTTGTGTGGGCAAAGTCTGGTTCTAATTGGCAAGCAGGTATAATATTTCCACTAACTGATAGTTAATATTTTTGTGCTATTTTAGACTAGAGAGGAAGAATGATTGGATCTACTTTGTTCAATTATTTATCTCATTATAATATTTCCCAAAACTCTATAGTTCAATGAGTTTATTTAATTGTGCATTAATAACTGATTGGAATGAAGAAATTATAATGGGTTATAATAGTTATAGGAATACATTTAAACTCTAGCTGTTCTCTCCACTAATAGCATAGTTTATAAATTATTTTTTTAAAATTAAACATTTACTTAAAATCCATTAAAATTTCATAGTCTTGAAAACCTGGGAATTATTTATTTATTTTTTTTTCAGAAACAGAATCTCAGCATGTAATTCAGTTCAGATTGGCCTTGAATTCGCTGTGTAGCCAAGTGATGAGATTACCATCAGGTCCAGCAGGAATCAACAATTTAAGCTCAAATTTGGTCTAGAATTGTATTTACCTTACTAGTGCTCATAAAAAGTTCTCCCTTGATGAACTGGTCATTTTTAGTGGATCAGAAAAACCACTAAATATAAATGAATTGATATGGGATAATTTTATCTCATTTCACTTCAACACTGACTTTATTTCAGTTTTGAAGAAAATATTTGACCCATTCATTAAATATTGTGGCTGATTTATTACACATATATGTTTTGGGACATGAATCAAAATCCTTACCATAAATATTTGTCTTAACATTGTGTTCCTTCAAAGCATATAAATGCACATGCTGTGCCCATTTGAGCACTGGTTTATACCAAAGCATCTATGCTCCATCAAATTTCTGTAGTTTTTATACCTGTTAGATCTTTATTAAGCATGTCTTTCTGCTTTCTGAAAATACAGCTTCATATTTTATTTGATACATAGTACCTCACTGAAACTTGCAGAGAAAGTTGTAAGTAGCAGGTCATCTCTCTTTGGTATTCTGGCCTATGTCTTTGTAACTATACTCTCATGTTTACTGCACTATTTTCTAGGGCTATTTTGAGTCTTATGTCATTCATGATTGGTTTGATTGATGATTACTTTTAAAATCTCTTGTTACACTTTACTATTCTGTCACAATGCATCTTTGATATTTTCCTTTTCCATTCATGGAAGAATGTAAGTCAACCAAATTGTCTCAAAGAGATCACATGCTTTTCCCCATCTAAGTCACATAATGGGCTCATTATTGAACAACACTGCATATTTAGAATGCTGTATCTGTAGAACACTGCTTATTTAGAATACAGTATCTCTAGATTTTCTCTCTGTCTTCCATCACGTTTCCCCTTTCCTAGTTGACTGGAACATCCTGTAGAAGTGGATGAGTCACTGTGGGAATTCTGTACATGACAAGAGTCTTTGGTGGTTGTACTACTCCAACCTACTTTTCCTTGCACTACGTAGGTGGAAGCTAGTGGTAGAAATGATACAGGAGAAACAGAATCTGGATATCTTTAGCATGGCTTGTCAGCACTCCTCATTTTCTTGCCAAGTCTTAAGTGGATACAAATTTCCTAATAGCTGACCTCTTGGTTGACTGAACGGGATCATGTAGGAAAGACACCTACATAATTTGTCCCAGGGAATAAGTACTTCATAGAATGGAGAGGATTTTAAATCCTTGAAAAAGAATTACAGTATCCAAATATTTTTTTCTGTCTTTAAGCTTCCATTCCAAAGTCTACAAAATTTGGCATAAAATATAGTAGAAAATTTTTCCTTTTCTTTCTTTTATAGTATATTTTAACATATAGAGGAAATTAGATATGTAACAACTACAAAAAAGATATATATATATATATATATATATATATATATATATATTAGATATAAAAGGTAGAAAGATACATATTTTAGACACTGAATGATCTGGTTATAAGGGATGATAAACTTTATTTTTAATATGAAAAAGTTGATTTAAAAGACATTCCCATAATGACTAAGTTGAAAAGGTAAATTCCACAGATTATTGGCTATGTTCTAGAGTCACTGCTGTGTTCTTTAATCCAGTTTCATTAAATAGTTTCTATGAAGCATCCAAAGAACTCGAAATAATTTCACTCTCATAAACAGCTAGTTCATAGTGCTGACATCCATCTATACGTCTCTAGCAGTAAAGTGCAAAAAGTGCTCAAAATATTTTCCTGTTACTTTTCAATTATCCTAACATTTCAAATCTGTTACTAGAGGAGGAAGATTGACATTAATATGAAGAAAGTCAGCTTCCTACTACTAAGATTTTTGCAATTTAATTCCAGTCTTTTATTAATGGCAAACTGAAATACTAGGTATTTGGATGATCAGGTTGAGAAGTTAAGTGGTCATACAAACATGTCCCCTCTTTTTTTCTTTTAATTCCACTGATTCACTTTGAGGTATCTGAGTGGTTTTGCAAAGTTCCCAAGCCACCAGGGCAGTATATGGAAAAGTATATGGAAAGAAAACAAAACAACAGTAAACCCACCACAAAATCTGTTTAAAATGGCTCAAGGTACCCTTTAAAAACAGAAACCCGCAGCAAAACACACTGCCAATGCCTTGCTTTACTGCTCCCTGCTTAGAGATTTCCTTCTCCTTGCACCTTCTCTTCTTATGAAATGCTTAGTGACTTTGGGCTGTTTTGCTTCATGTTTCTGCTGAGTCACTGGATTTTAGGTCTCTGTCCCCAGGTGCTACTCAGCGTAAAAGTTAAAAGTGCATTCCCGAAAGCACTGCGATTGTGTGTCAGGGGGGAGCAAACCATTTCCCTGGGAGAAGCTCAGAGCCTTGGCTGCTTTTCCCTCCCTAGGAGGCTTCGCAGGAGAGGAGCGCAGGGATCAAAGCCGCTTTGCTGAGAGCTGCTAATTCCAGCTGGCTGGCAGCGCAGCGCGTCCCGGGCGCCTGGCTGGTCTGAAACCCCAAGTCCCTTCAGAACAGCGTGGAGTTACTTTCCCTTCAAGGAGACTGAAACAATCGTGATTGGTGGCGTCCCGGTTCGCGGGGTGTCTTCCTGCTGTGCCCACCGCCTCTTCCCAAGCGGCAGAGGTGATCCGTGTGCACGGCGAGGGCGCGCGGCGGCCGCGGTGCTGAGCGGTGGGCTCCCCCGCGCGTCCTCTGCCCCCCGCGCGTGATGTAAGACCAGACGTACCCTGCGCGGAGAAGTCCAGACACGCGGCGGCTCGCTCGCGCTCACTCGCTCCCCGCACGGCACGCGCGCATCCCTGCACCTTCCGCGTCCTGCTCCCGGCGGGCGAGGCGGACTCGCTGGACCCGCCGAGCCCAAGGATTCGCGGCGACGTTTGCAGATGACCGCGCTCCACGCCGGGCCCCCAGCGCGGGCCAGCGCCACGGGGCCGCGGGCGCCGCCGAGCAGCCTGCAGCGCGGGCTCCCTGCGCGGGCGGCCAGGATGTCCGAGTTCCTGCTCGCCCTGCTCAGCCTCTCGGGATTACTGCCCATCGCCAAGGTGCTGACCGCGGGAGCCGGCCGAGGTAAGCGGGCTGCCCTGCCTCCCCTCGCCGCCCTCTGCCCGGGCTCCCGGGGCGACGCCGCGGAGAGTGAGTGTGAAACTTCAGGCTCAGCGGCCCCGCGCCCGGACGCGGTGGCCACTCGCTGGCCTCGTCCCGGGCACACGGGCGAGGGGCTCTGAGCCGGGCCGGGTCCCGGCACCCTGCGACGCTGCCCTGGGACGCCTGACAGGTCCTGATTTTGCCCCCTCGGGAGCCTTTGGACTTGACTGTGTGCTTCCACCCGCGCACTGGGGCGCAGCAGAGGTCGGTCCGAATCCAGGTCTCCCCGAGTGTCCCCTCGGGTTGGCTCTCGGCTGCCAGCTTTCGCGGGCTCCGGGGTCTCCTCCTGAAGCACGTTTGCCCTCAACTTAGCCTCCCGGGTTAACTACCTTAGCTTCTGCTTTCAGAGTCCAAGGAAAGGTGAAAGAGCCTCCTGGGGCCCCCCTCCCTGCTGTCGCCCCTTCCCCTCCCTTCCCGGGCAGACTCTGGCAAGCTTTGTGTCCCCCAGTGCAGAGGCTGGTAGGGCGCACGCACCTGCCTGAACTTGACTTTTTTTTTTATTCCTAAAGGCTGCGATCCAGCCCGATGGCCAGTGGTACCACCACAAGCTTCCCCAGCTCCAGAGTGCCTGGCTCTGGCTGGGCCTTTGCTCTGGCTTTTTCTTCAAGTAGCTGAGGAATAGAAATGTGTGTGTGTGTGGGGGGGGGCGGTAATGGGGAACAGGGCAGAGAGGAGTGGGAATTCTAATAAACTGGCATTCTGTAAACTTTTGATTTGGAAAACCAAGTATACCAGCGTAAGTTTTGGTAATCTTTGTATAACTGCAAAAATTAAAAAAAAAGTGATGATTACTTGAGACCAGGCTTGGAATAGTTAACTGATCAAAGTAAAACCAGAAGTACCATAAATCTATTTTTTAAACATAGAATGAGCTCATGTTGATAAAAAATGTTCATCTTTTTATTATAGTTAGGAAAAAAAGAGATGAAAAAAAGAACGAAAAATATCCAGATGTCAGTGCCAACCAAAGGGGCAAAATGTTGCAGTGGGAATTTAGTGACTGTGTTTATAAGAAGCAAATTATGAATTGATTAAAAATTATTACTTCATTATAGGAAACAATAGAGGACCGAATTGTAGTGCTTCTATTTAACCTGAGGTTGGCAACCAGATTACAGTCTTTATAGCATCCCCACAGGTATCATTTTCTTTGCCGGAGGTGGGACTAATAGAAGTTCCTTGAGAAAATGTGGCAATTACTGGTAGAAATGTTTTCAACATACATTGCAACCTACTCCTGTAGCTTCTGAGTTTGTTTAAATTGCCTTGAAGTTGGCATGGAATATTTGAAAACTATCGTGGTAAAATGGGAGCCCATAGCTCTAACTTGAAATGATGATGTCTTTGATCTATAACAAATGGCTCGCAACCTTTCTTAAGAAGAATGTTTAAAGTGCTACCAGAGCAGATGAACACAATAAAGCTTTCAGCCCAGTGTGCTAGCAAAATAAAATGACACGGGCAGACTGCTGCAATTGGGCTCTTTCTGATGGAGTTCCCAGTCTCCAGACTTTGACCTCACATGTAACTAAGTCCTCTGGGCTTTTGTGGTTGCTTCGGAGGTTGGTGCTGTTTCCACTATGATTGAAATGAATACATGCAGGTAACTTTACACAAAGTTAAACATGTAGACACTGAAGCTTTTTTTTTTTTTTTTTCAAGATAGGAAACTAAACCACTCAAAGGATTATATTATTGCCATTTTTACTTCCATGAAGGAGAAATATCGAAGATGTAATAAGTTACTTGGAAAGTAATTGTTTTCATCATTTATTCATTGTTCATTTTGTTTTGGAAAAAGTCACTATAAGATGCATCAGATAATAAAACTAAAAATAGCTCTAGATATACCACCAGTTCACCACTATTGTATATGTATATTTAACTCAACTTTCAAAACTTAGAAAACTTAAAGTGTCATAGCAAGCTATCAAAAGTGGTGTGAGCCCCACCTTTATTGGGGAGAAGGGGAAGAAATCTTGTTTAAAGATAGTGAAAAAATTACTGCTGCATTATGGCAAACTTCCCTCACTGAACTGCTGAAACAGAAGATGTAGGAATATAAACTCAAGAAAGAGGTTAATGAGATGTAACTTTCAGCACAGGCTTGTGTCAGTTGTCCTTGAGGACCAGAATAGTCCTGTGAAAACATCAGTTGTTTTGCAAGAGTTAGCTCAATGCCAAAAACTGTGAAATCACTTTTAGGTTCTCCAAATACATATTTGAGAGTGAGTAGTTTCTTAACCCGTGGAGATTGGATAGGGCATGTTTGCTTTTAAATTCACCTGTGCTATCTTTTCCTTTGTAAGTTTATAAGTACAAGCTTAAACATTTCATTAAATAGAAAGGTACTGGAAAATAACTTGTTGTTTACTGAGTTTAATTGATATACTTGTGCTTTAATTATGTATTTTTATTTTCTTAAATTACATTGATTATTGATTCAGAGTCAAACTAAGGTGGATGCCAGTTCTTATTAGATTTTATCACATTAGAAAAAGGAAACATCTTTGTAACTAAAAAGCCATAAGTGGAAGAAGACTCAAATTCACTTAGAATCAACTAATTTGTCATATAATGATGTCATATCATATCAAAGTATTGTTTAATAAAGATTAAGACTTTAAAAGGAAATATATTTTAAGTTGTCAAGTTTTATGTAAAGAAAAAGAATTGATAAACCTAGTCTGTTTTAAATTCTTGAGTCTCATACATTATGGAGCTATATTTCCAAAGAAAGTTCAGGCTGATATTGCTATTTTAATATGTCTGTGTATAAATCTATCTAAAAATGACAGTCATGTTTGTGTCAAAATTTTAATATTTCTCCCCTAAAAGAACACACTACTATTTATGTCTCTTAGTATTCAACAAAATTTCATTACTGTTTTTGCTTTACATAGTCTCTAATCTTTATTTCCTCCCCCATTCCTATCAAGCTCAAACTGAAACTGGGTAGTAAGGAAAGAATTTTGAGAGAAAATAAACACAAACTTAAATACATTAAAACAATAAGGAAAGTATGAAAAGCAGAAAATGAAGAAAAGAGGGAAAAAGAATAGAGATAAAGTCAGAAGTTAAAATTAGGAAAAGGCTGAAGTGTAATTAATGTTCTTGAAGGCATTAAAGTATGTTTACTGAAAATAATTTCTCAAAATTATTTTTCTTTTTAATTTCATAATATATGCCCTATGAATATATTTTCATTTTTAGAATAATTTAAAGAAATGTCCATTTTCATGACTTTGAATGTAATTAAACCTCAAAGAGAGGAAAAATGTGAGAATATTACAAAAAACTTAAACGTTAACTTGTCTATAGTAATTAAGGTGAAAGTTTTATTTCTTAATTTAAATGAATATTCCCAGGGTGATGATAAGTGATATTATTAATGGTGATATTTTTAATGGTCTGTTAGGAATAAAATAACACTTTCTAAGTACTACTTATATTTTGGGGTAGAAATATACAGACATTTTTAGTTTAGAGGAGACTCAATCCAGGACATTACTTCTTGCAAATTACCTTGTTAATTTTGTATCAGATCCTAAGACAAACCATGAAGATAAACTCCATTTTAAATTCACCTATGTGCTGGAGATTTAGCTCAGTAGCACAGGCTCCTGCCTGGCAAGTGTGAGGTTGTAAGTTCAATCCCCAGTACCAAAATTAATAAACGAATTCATCAAACATGACCATGTTTTGGTCTTCAATGAGCATTACAGTGTTGAACTATTACTGAATCTTCTCATAGTGTGGTGCTTTAAAGTCATCCAATGTTATGTGTTTGCTCCTAAGTTTTCATTTCATATGAGATGTACCCCTCTCTCCATGTACTTCCTGGTATAGAGATTCTGTGTAGTAAAAGCATCAATCATGCATAATCATAGATTTCCTTGTCTTCAGTGCCTTCTGTCAAAACAAGGCTTATATAAAAGAAACACTTGTCTTCATTCTAGATAAATACATTCAAAGAATGAAGAATTAATTACTAAAACTGAAACATGTTTGTAGCAAGGTGATGTCATTAGTCAAACTAATTTAGCATTAGACAGGGCCCATCTACATTTGCATGACCTCTAAAATGGCTGCCTTGGCACAGACCCTATGAGAATGCCACTCTGGTCTGAAAATCGAACTTTTTTTCTTAAAAAACCTTTATTTTTAAACATTCAGATAGAAACATGTCCATTTTTATGTTTGCTGCTGCCCTAGAAAACAAAAACAAAAAGTGGGATGAAATTTTTCAAACATTTGCCTGCTCACAACATGTAAAAAAGTTCTAATGACTTTCCATGCGACAGATATTTTTGAGTGACTAACAGAAACTTCAGTGGAGAAAATAAATACCAAATTGTGTTTGATTTTGTAAAGGCTGTGATTATGATATGTTCAATAGTTACAATTTTAAACAATATTTTTGGTAACAAGAATGCTAAACAAAAATAAAGCCAAAAGATGAGAACCAGCACGATGGGTTACTCAGATTGTGTAGATGGCAGAAACTCTTACCTGGAAATATCGTCTTCACTTGAGATGGTTCAGAAAGTTTTCTGTCCTTTCCTGAAGAAACCAGGAAATGACAAAAAGCCATTTACTTCACTGACCAAAGAAAGCAATTCACAAGTTTTTTGTTTTTATTTGTTTGGGTAGGGAAGGGAGCAAAAATTAATCAAACCCACCACTTTTTATCATTCTCTGTGGAGCTAAATAACATTAATTACAATTCTTAAGTTTAACATATACAACAAATAATTGAGAAAAGGCATAGGATGAAATTACAATTTAGTCATCAAAAATCAAAAGCCTAACAATCTTCTGGACTTGTACAATTTTTTTTTTTTAAATTTTGGAAGGAGACATTTAAAACTAACTTCCTGGAAATAAACTAATATTTAAGCATTAATTAAAATACAAAGTAA